GATAAAACTAAAAATCAATAACAAAACAACTAGAAAATCTTCAACCATTTGGAAATTTTTCAATACATATCTAAATAAACCATGGGTCACAGACAAAAAAAAAAATCTCAACAGAAAACAAAGTATTTGTAACTGGATGATAATGAAGAGAAAACACATAAAAACTTGTGAGATACAGCTAAAGCTGTACTTAGAGGGAAATTCATGGTCTTAAAATGCATGTATTAGAAAAGAAGAAAAACTGAAAACCAATGATCTAAGTGTCCATCTCAATTATCTTGGAGTAAAAAGAGCAAAATAAAATCAAAGAATAGGGAAAAAGGAAATAAGAAAGATAAGAGCAGAAATTAATGAAATTGTAGAGAAATGCAGAATAGAGGCTATTAATAAAGCCAAAACTTGTCTAAAAAGAGAGATAAAATTTATAAATCCTTTATAAAACTGATTACGATAAAAAGAAATGAAAGACATCACCAATATTAGGTTTAAAAAAGAAGTATTGCCTCAGATCCTATAAACATTAAACATAATATGAGGATATTACCTTATTTCCATACGTAGACTTTGCTACTGTGAAGAGATTATGCTTATTATCCCAAATCAGTATTTAAGTCAATGTGTCAATTATGTTTAGAAGGTATATTAATAAATTGTCAATTCAATTTCTAAACTGATGTTATTGAGTTTAGTTAGAATGACCGAGTTCTACAGTGTTTGTATGAACTAACCAAACTGGGTTTGAGTGAACCAAACAAATTGAGTTTTTATACATGCAAAGTAAAGGAAAAGACACTGGTACCAAAGTTATCCCAGACAATGAATGGACAGCCTGCTGTATTGAATTACTAATTTGAAGTTTCTTTAGTCTTGTGTATACATAATATCGTATCTTATGTATATTTATACCCTGCATGTAGTAGAATGAGTAGAATTTTGACAGGTGTAGGCAGCATACATGCAAAAGGATAGGGGCAGGGAATAGTATAGTGTATTCAGGGAAGAGCAACTCTTCTGACTGCAGAGTATGATAGGGGCTGCTGGGAAGAAGCAGGACAGATGGCTTGGTTCAGATTGTGAAAGGTTTTGGAGTGGACATCTTCTTGAATATGAGTGGGACCTATCAACACAAGTGTGACAATAGCAGACTTGTATTTTAGAAAGCACACAAAGTTATTCTTAGATCTTCTGAAGCAAATGAATATATGTCTTATTTCCTGTCCAAGATTGTAAGTCATGGACATATGAAGCCTTCAAAATATTTGTTGATTGATTAATTAGTTGATGGACTGTTTCCTTGACAGGTAAACAAGCCAACTTGCTGCTGTATTCTTTATGCAAAGTACTGTGAAATACCAGGTATTAGTTCTCTTTGTAGGAGTTTACAATATAGTAGGGAGATAACAGTTACACCGACAGTACAGAAAGAAAACTAGATCAGGAGTGAAAGGACATGGATTCTAGATACATATCCTTCAATTTATTTATTTATTCATAAATATTTAATAAGCACCTGTTATGTGTCAGTCCTCTGCCAAGCTTTAAGTGTATAGTGATGAGCAAAATGATTCTCATGGAACTTACATATCCAGTGGTGGATATGCATATCAAACAATCACAAAAAATTCATTCAACAAGTTTTATTGCTTTATTATCTGAAATGTTCCAGGCATTGTTCTAGGCACTTGAGAGATATGATGAATAAGGTGACAGAGATCTGTGCCTATGTAGGTTTTATATTTTAGTAGAGGGAGATAGAAAATAAACTATAGACATAATAAATAGGTATTGTATCTATCTTATTACAAGGTGATAAGTATTATGAAAAAAGAAAAAAGAGTAAGTATTTTCAGAGGAGTTGGATGGCACAAGCAGTTTTGCAATTGGCTGCTAACCCAGAAACTGGCAGTTTGAACCCACCCAGACACTCTGTAGAAGAAAAGGCCTGGCAAATTGCTTCCATAAAGATTACAGCTAAGAAAACCCTATGGAGCAGTTCTATTCTGCATACATGGGGTCACCATGAGTCAGGGACTAAAAACAACAACAAGTGTTCTCAGGAGAGGGTGAGGATAGGCGTTGGCATGGGTTATAATTTTAAACAGGATGGTCAAAGTAGCCTCATGGAAAAGGGAACGTATAAGCTAAAATTTATAGAAGATGAGGGAATTGGCTATGTAGATATCTAGGAGAAATGGGTTCTGGGTAGAGGGAACTGTCAATGTGAAGATCTAAGATGGAGCATTCTAGAGTGTTTCAGGCACAACAAAGAGGCCAGATTGTATGGAACAGGATAAGCAAGGGGATAAAAGCAGGTACGGGGAGGAGGGTGTACATTATATGGAGTCTTGTAGGCCTTTGTAAGGACTTTGGCTTTTACTGGGTGAAATGAGGAGCCATTGCAGGAGTTTGAGCAGAGAGTGACAGCAAGTGACTTCCATTTTAACAGGATGATTCATTTCATATTACAACCTATAACTGTAAAGCATGACGTGTGTGTCCTGAGATGGGGTCACAGGAGGACATAATTTATAAAGTATCCGTGTGATTTGAGGTCCTAAGCTTAACCAGCCTTAGCCTGCCTCAGCAGGTCATCGTTGTGAGGCTCTAGTAACATGCTGTATATATATGCACACAATTTTATAATAGTATTTTTGGTAGTCATGCAGTTGTTTGTTGTTGTTTGGGTGCCATTGAGTTGATTCACACTCATAGCGACCTCATGTGACAGAGCAGAACTGCCCCCTAAGGTTTCATAGGCTGTAATCTTTACCGAAGCAAATTGCCAGGTCTTTCTCATGCGAAACCTCTGGGTGGGTTCGAACCGCCAACTTCTGGTTAGCAGTCAAGAGCTTAACCACTGAGCCACCAGGACTATGGCTCATAATCCAGTGCAGGATGATGGGTTACAACCTATAACTATTTTAGGAGTTAAGCATACTTTCTCAATGGGGTGATAATATACCCAAGGGGTGAAAATTGGTTTGGAAGGGGGCAAAAATTCTTACTCTTTCATATATAAAGCACAGATTTACATACAGTAACTAAACAGATACACTATATACCTGTGGTATTTTAACTTCACGGAAAAAAATATCTAAAAAGGCTCCTTTGGTGGTGGGGGGGATGTTAATGAAAAAAATAGGTTGAAAAACAGTTAAAGGAAGGAGGTCAGTAGTAGAAAGATCACTGAGCTGGAGGTCAGAAAACTAGAGCTGAAATCAACTCTGTCATTAACTCTCCGTGTGAACTTGAATCATTCACTTCCCCTTTATAAGTTTCAGGTTTTCTTCAGATGTAAAATAAAATGTTAGACTGAATGATCTCTTACATTTTCTCCAGCTCTAAAATTATGAGGAGGATTTGAACTGGGGTTCCATATGGTTATAAAGGCCTGGTTATGAAACCAATAGTAATTCATCAGATATTTGGACCCATTAAACTTCACTTTTCAGTAAAATAAAATGTCTGTGTCAATAGCATTTAATGTCTGTCTCTGGCCTTCTACCCCTTATTCATTTTTTAAGAACTCTAGAAATACTGCTCTAGTTCACTCTAGAAGATTCTTGGTTACAATATGTAGCCTAAGGGCACAATGGAGTTTTACCAATAAGATGCACATCAAATGCTTTGAAGTATGCATTGCTTCTCAATTTGCACATGATTTCTAGATGTTAAGATCCCTCTACAACCTGTCTGAGTTGTCACTTGAAAGAGAAAGATGTAGATGGTATGGTGAAGGGAAGCAGGAGTTAGCAAAAGAAAGTACCAGATTCAAAAACAAAGACCGCATATATCTACAACATCTATAGGTGACATCAACTAGACAACCTTGCACACACAGGTCCTTGCTGCTTATTCCAGAGCTGGGCCAATTGCACTAAGGAAACCTTGAATACATAGTTTATTCTGCCTCTTTTAGGGTCTTAGTTTCTCATCCTGACCCTCCAGCTATATTTAAAATACCCTTGAAAGACAGAGAATGCATCTTCTAACTCTTTATATGTTCAGTGCCCACTTCAGTATCCTGTACATAAAAGCCTCTTAGTGAATGTTTGTTGACTTTGTTGAGCACACAGATTTAAGAGAGAAAAATAAAGCTCAAAGCTATAAATCTTTGAGTGCCTTACTTTGGGTGGTCTGTACAGATGTGCCTACAGGCCAGAGCATTTATCTTCTCTTCCTTCTGCCATTTAATCACCTAGTGATGTTTCCAGATAAGAAATGTACATGTAATTCATCACTTAACTGGAGCATGTATAACTCATTCACCATAGGATATAAATATGCAAGAATTGTTTTGTTTAATGAATTCAACTGTAAATAAATGGGTTGCTATTGTGGTAGTGCAGTGGTTAAAGCACTTGGCTGCTAACCAAAAAGGTTGACAGTTGGAACCTACCAGCCACTCTACGGGAGAAAGATGTAGCAGTCTGCTTCTGTAAAGATTAACAACCTTGGAAACCCTTTGAGGCAGTTCTTCTCTGTCCTATAGAGTCTCTATGAGTTAGAAACGACTTGACAGCAGTGGGTTTTGGTTTTTGGTTATTGTGAAGAACTGTAGTTCTCCACTAAATAGCAGGGATTTCTTGAATGTTGTCAGCATTTGGAGACAATTAGAAGAGGGAGCTCTATTCAGCGACAAATGGCTAAATATTCAGAATTTCAATGTATACTGAGAAGGTAGTTCAACCCCTGGTTTATCTAAAGAATCTTCGAGTAATTGGCAATGACAAAACCCCAGAGCCTAATTGAAAGAATCCTTAGGAGTGAAGGAGTTAACTGAGTGTGTATGCTTTATCTTTTGTTCAGTGGACTGGTGGTTTGCTGATTAAAGTCTCTGGTAAATGATTGTTAGAGAACTGTCATTGATAGCTGTTGCTAGTTGCTGCATTTCAAAAGCCTGTTGATTCCTTTGAAAGGCTATACAGCATCCTTGAGCCCTTTACTCATTTCAGATCTTCTCAGGCTTGCTGGCAAAAGGATCTATCAGAACAACAAACATGAATGATGAAGACTACAGCACCATCTATGACACAATCCAAAAAGAGGGGACATGTGAGGTCCCAGACCAGCCAGGAGAAAATGAAGGTCCCCTTTATGATGCCATCCGCAAAGACTTGAAGCCAGAAAACAATTTATATGCCACCCAGCTGGAAACCCATCAGTATGCTTCTGTATCGGTCTGCGTCGTTGGGAGTGAGGAGAACAGCCTAGCTTCTTCCCAGCCAGAAGCAGAGGGCTACCTCCTGCCTGATGAGGTGCAGCCTGAGGCCCAGGATCCTCAGCCAGATGAACCCCAAGAGGACAGAGACAACTCGATGGAAGAATTACATTCATCAGGCCAGGCTCAGGAGCCCCGCTCAGCAGAGCCCCGCTCAGCGGAGCCCCAGGAGAATGGAAGCATGATGAAGGAACACCAGCCTTCTCCTTCAAGCTTCACCATCCAGCATAGCAAACTCTTCTCCATCAGCATGGATTCCCCAACTGGCTATTTCAGTGCTAATGGTTTGGAAGAAAGCGAAGTATCTTCCATGCACCCTGAGATTATCCTCTTCGTGAAGGTAAGGGCTGCCTTAGACAGCACACTTGCACATGCAGATGGCTGAATTGGGGTTTTATTTTGCTCTGAGTGGCCAGGGAAAGATGCATGGCGTCATGGTCCCTGGACCTCAGTACATATTCAAGAGTAGGGCTGAGTAAACGGGTCATTCCAAAGTTCAGCCAGGACTTCTCAAAATGAGAATTGGGAAGTACATATAAAATGTGTGTTTAATCATTGACTTTTATATACTATGGGCAAGGCATTTTTTTTAAGAGTTCACTTACGAGTGAGCAGAAATTGCTGCTCAAATGCTTACCTATGTGACAGACGTCAAGTACATTTTCCTGGCAGATTAAATTTCCTTGGTCAACATGGTTTTTAAAAATGAAACCAAGGCTTGTGAGAGAAAGTCATATCTACAGTTAGGTACTGGAGTTTCCTTCTTACATTCCTAAGGTCACAGATACTTCAGATAGATGGTCCATAAATATTACTGCTGTCACTGAATTTGCCATTTTGTCACCCATATAAATAACTAAAGTATCTGACGAAGTGAAGTGATTTCAGTAGTTGTAAGACAAGTAATTATCAATGTTAATATTTAAATACTTACAATGTTTTAAACAAAGAACTTCGGTGATCTTTGCATTAGACTAATAACATAATAAAGATTATGGTTATGAACACTATCAAAACATAAAAAGCATTTCAGTCTATTTATTAATCAAGATGGCAGAATCTTTTCCCCCGAAATTGCCCCCCACCCAACAGAATGTTTATTTTTATATATTTTTATGTGTAGATAGCATATTAGTAAATATTTTTATTTCTGGCTAATAAAAATGATTATTCTGTGGACCTGCAAAAACCCCAGTCCACACTCATTTCTCTCCTTCCTTGTTTCCAAAAACACTTATAATGAAACACACTTTATTTGCTAATTTAATACATTATCACTATCTACTTTGTACTTTTGTGTGTAAATCGTGTCTCCTTTATTCTACTATGAATAGCCCTTGGAAGAATTTTCACTTTTACTCTGAGTGATATGGGGGGTCATGGGAGGGATTTGAAAGGATCATTCCATCTATCTGTTTGAGCAAAGCCTATGGTGGGATAAGGGTGGAAGCAGGGAGAGGGGTTGGGAGACAGTTGAGAAATTTGAGGCAAGAGATGATGACGGATTGGCCTACAGTGACAGTGGTGGAGGTAGGTGGTGAGAAGTAGGGTTGGATTGTTTTGAAGAGAGAGCCTGAAGAGTTTGCTGATGACATTGATGTAGAAAGTAGAGAAAGAAAAGAGCCATGGTTGACTCTAGGGGTTTTGGCCTGGGCTACTGGGTGAATAGATATGTCATTCCCATTTCAGCTATGAACCCCTTCTTAGGGAATCCTAACATTGGCTTTGTCAATAATTTGCTGTGAAACATCCCTGGGCCCAAGTTTCCTAGTCTCTAAAGTGAGATCTCTTACAGTCTTTGATTCCAGTGTGTATGGCCCTAACTCAGTGTGTACACATGTGGCACCAGACATTGTCTACTCTAAAAGACTGCTCGACAATGACTATGATCTCTACATTTGGGTGTGGTTGGAAGGGCCAACATTATGCCAACATTGTTTTCTACCCTCAGCTCGTATGAAGCCTGTCCCTTAGAAAGTGTCTGTAGCCATGGCCTGCGGAGCCTCTCTGATTAGGACATTCAAAGGGCTTCCATGCAGCACTGCACAGGCTGTGCACTGAACAAATGTAGGGGGGTGTCATTCACTGAAAATGTGAATGGTGCCCCCCCACACCCCGCAGAAGTCAGGCAGTGTACCAGCCCTGGTGAATGTTCCTCAGATTCATATTTAGCCTGGGATCTTTATTCTAAAGGAGTGACTGCATATAATTCGGCTCAGTGGTTCACAAAGTGTGGTTCAGGGACTAGCAAAATCAGCATCACCTGAGAGCTTGTTAGAAACAAATTCTCTGGCTCCAGTCTTAATGGATCAGAAACTCCAGGACTGGGGCCCTGCAATCTGTGTTTTACAAGTCCCTCAAGTGATTCTGATACATGTTTGAGAACCACTTACTCGGCTATGTCTGAGGCTAGCTCATCATTCCTCAGGTCTTTCCGGGTACTTAGTTACTCTGTCTTGCTTAGGCTAGAGCTGTGGAGTCCTCAACGCATTTCTAGGGCTTCCTATTGATTTAATTACCCAAAACAGCTGCTGGGGGATTCTAGGGCTGTCTATGCCGTTTATGTGTATGAGGAGCATCCCTTCATTGCTGGCCAAGGTCCAGAGTTTGGTCCTTAATACTTGTGGCTGCCATTTGATGTTAAGGCAGCGTTGATAAACCTTCTTCATCAGACTCTGTTAGCCTGTCAATGGTCTCGTCTTCTTGATGCAATTCTTCACTTCTTGATTGATCCAAGTATCACCAACCATTGTCCAGCTTGAGTTGCAGAATTCAGCAGCAGCCTCCAGTCCTGCATGTCCAGACACAGAATCAGACTACATGGAATGTTTCTCTGAAGGAAGGCAGAGTGTGAACTTAGTCTTCAAGTAAAAGTCAGCCTATACCCTTACTGCACTCTTTCTGAATGCAGTTCAGGATCAGTCGTGTGTTTCATTCGGTGTGCATTGCAAGGGAATATCTCTGGGTATATAGCAGCTATTGTGTCCACAGATTTTGTGGTTGTTCATAGTTTATTGGTTAGGAGCAATTTCCCAAATGCCTGAAAATTACACTATCTTTGATAGGTCCTTTAAAAAAAGTTTATCTTTGAAGGGGATCAATTAGACTGAATGGTCCCATCCTTGAAGATGAGAAATGTGTCAGGTGAGGCAGCATGTAATGAGAATCGGCCCACCATGCTGTCCATACCATATCTATACCGTCACAGAGTAGTCTTGGGTTATCAGCAATCTTCGAAGGGCAGCTAGTCTTACCTAGCAGGTGTCAACATCAGTGCTACATTCTAACTGCTCCTGGGAAGATTTAGGGTGACAGCATGATGGAATGAAACGAATATGAGACTGGGAGCTGAAAGATTTGCATTCCAATCCTGACTCTGACACTTTAAGACTTAATTTTCTTGTGCAAGTGACAGCCTCTTTCTCAGCCTTAATTTCCTATTGTACAATATGAGGCTAAATAAAACCTACCTCATGGCTCAAATGGAATAACAAAGGTGGAAGGGCTTTGCATAGTGGCTAGTGTCACAGAATTTTCAGTAATTGTTATTATTGCCATAACATAGGAAACAATGTTCTAGGGGCATGATATCCCAAGTAGGGAGCTCAACATAATCCATGAGGGTACAGGAAGAAAATAATCAATATTAGAATAGAAATATTAATCAATGTTTCCATTTATTTTTATCTCATCCTTTAAAATTTTAATACTTTATGTGTTTCATAATGTACAAGCATATTCTTACAGTAGTACATTCACATAATTGGTAAGTTCATAAGTGTACGAATATTGTGGGTAAATGATGAAGTTTTGTATGGATTAAAAAAAAAAAAACATTGCTATTGAGTTGATTCTGATTCGTGGCAACCCTGTAGGACAGAGTAGAACTGCCCCATAGGGTTTCCAAGGCTGTAATCTTTACCAAAGCAGACTGCCACATCTTTCTCCCGTAGAGCAGCTGGTGGGTTCGAACCATCGACCTCTTGGTTAGCAGCCAAGTGCTTAACCACTGCACCACCAGGTCTCCTGTTTTTGTATTGATAGAGATGTGCAATTTAAAAAATCTTGTTGACCTATACCATTTTCTTCCTTTTCAGCCACCATCTGAGGGCTTGGGGGCCCTTTCTTTGGCCAAAATCTGTTGCGAACAGGTCCCCTCACCTCCCAGTTCTTTCCTTGTACTAAGTTTTCACAAGCAGCCTATTCAGTCCATTTGCCTTGCAGGCAAACAAAGATATATTGTTGCAGGTGAGAAACTATAAAATCAAATTGAGGAAATGGAGCTGGATTTGGATATTGAGACGTGTCTCAGCTGAGGAGCTGGGTGGAAAGGGTGTTCCAGGCAATGGACTTTGAAAAAGCAAAGGTTCAGTGAAAATACACATGTGTATGACTAGATCCCTTTGGCTGGAATGAAAAGAAGGTCCGAGTAGGGGCAGGGCAGACGGGGAGGCTGAAGCGCTAGGAGTGCAGCCTTGCATGGTAAACTAAAGGGTTTGGACTTTATCCTGCAGGCAACAGAAAGTAACAGAATATTTCTGAGGAGGATGTCATGAGCGAAGCAATACTTAGGGTGATTAGTAAACAAATTAAAAGGCATTTCCACCTATGGGTAGAGAAGAACCAAACAGTAAACCTACCAAGTTTCATTTATATTATTAGTTCAAACATTTACATGTAAATACCCTGTGTGTAAGAAAACTGTGTATTTTTATAGTTATTTGTTCATTCAACTGACCATCTAGAGATGCCCAAATATTTAGATCCTTGCCTTCACATAGACAAATTTTTATAGAAAAGGTATCCGGGCATGATGCTGATTTATATCTTACCTACGTATATGTCTACCTAGTTTAGTTCATATTTGGATTCAAGACAAAATTTTGATTGTTGTCATTTTAGTATAGTTTCTAAGTGTTTGTGCGGGCCCAGCTTAGCCTGGATGAAGTACTCAAAGTTGCACATTTAAAAAATCCACTGCCATCGAGTCAATTCCATCTCATAGTGACCCGATAGGACAGAGTAGAACATGCTTCATGGGGTTTCTAAGGAGCGACTGATGGATTCAAACTGCTGACCTTTTGGTTAGCAGCCGTAGCTCTTAACCACTGCGCCACCAACACTCCAGTTGCACATTTAGATGTCTGGAAGTAACTGGAAGCCTGAAAGGTCCTCTTGTTCTGTGATCCTCCAGGAGCAGCTTGCTCTAACATCAGTAATATAGATACTTCAAATTACGTCCTTGGAAACATTTGTGAGAATATGCAGGTCTGAGCTTGTCCCAGGTGCCCAACTGTCCTTTCATGGAACCACTGAAGCATACAAAAATGAACCAATGAA